CTGGGCTGCCTGTAATCTTCCATGCACACAAGTTTTCAGGAATTAACAGAGGCTTACACAAGGAATTTTAGGCTTTCCCCTTCTGGGTTCTGCCTTTCCTGGGTTCTTCCTCCCCTCACTTTCCAGTGGTTGAGTGGTTGTCACTAACCTGAATTTTGTTATCTGTTTTCTTTTTTTTTTCTTTTAAAAGATTTATTTATTTATGTAGTTATGCATACAAGAACTGGGGTGTAAACCAGAGGTTCAGGGGGGCGAGAGGATTCACCAGAGTGAGGAGCAGAACAGGTGGAGCCACTCAAATACACTGCTGAGGGGAGCAGCAGGTGAGACAGGAGAGGTCTGCTGCACCATGTGGGTCAGCTTCCTGGCTGGGGATCGAACTCTTGCTGCAGTGGTTGCCAAGAACTTCATAGTGCTAAGACTTAACCCTTTGTGCCATCAGGGAGGCCCCTACCCTATTTTTTCCTTTTTTCCTAAGAACACAGAGCTTTGTTTTTCTGACAGAATTTACCTCCTGGTTGCTCCATCCTGGCTTTGGCTGGGGTGTAGGCCAGGGGTGCAGGGGGGTGAGAGGATTCACCAGAGAGAGTGGGGAAAAAAATAGGCAGATCCACTGAAATACACTGCTGAGGGGAACAGCAGGCAAGACAGGAGAGGCCATGTGGGTTAGCTCCCAGGACAGCCCGACAGTGACAGCGCTGTTTTTAACCCCTGCGCCACCAGGGAGGCCCTGTTAAGTTTTCTATGAAAGTTTTAGCCAACACTCAAGATGTCAATTTTGGCCTGTCCTCTGGCTAAAAGCAATGAAGATGGACAACTAATTTCTTGCTATCTTTTCTTAAAAGTCATTTTTTAGAATTAGACTACTTTTGTTCATTTTCCAGTGCTTTTAGGTCTTTTTTTCTTCTTCTGGTTTTGTCCAAACTACACAGTAATACGCAGAAAGGTCAGCTCCAGTAAAGCCTACTTGGTCGTACTGCCAAAAAAAACAAACAAACAAACAAACAAACAAACAAACAAACCAAAAAACAAACAAACACCACCACTGTGATCTTGTTTTCACAACTTTACTTCTTTTTTTTTTTTTTAATAGTAAGACCTAGAAAGAAGGCACAACTTTACTTCTGACTCCCTGTATATAGATTAATTTTTTTTTTTATAGAGGCATGTTTTATTTATTTATTTATTTTATTTGTTTGTTTGTTTTGTTTATACATGCACTGGGTACAGTCAGAAGCGCGGGAGGGTGAGAGAATTCACCAGAGCCAGAGCGGGGAGCAGAGCAGGCAGAAGGACCGAAGTACACTGCTGAGGGGAGCAGCGGGCGGCAGGAGAGGTCTGCGCGCCATGTGGGACCCTCCTCCGGTGGCCGGGGAGCAGCCGGGGATCGAACCGGCGCCGCAGAGGCCGCGGGCAGCTTCGCAACCCAGCGCTCAACTGCTGCGCCACCGGGGAGGCCCTAGATTAACTTTTATTTATATTTTTAAAAGATAGATCTATCTATCTATCTATCTATCTATCTATCTATCTATCTATCTATCTATCTATCTATCTATCTATCTATCTATCTATCTATACAAGCACTGGGTACAGTCAGAAGTGCGGGAGGGTGAGAGAATTCACCAGAGCCAGAGCCAGGAGCAGAGCAGGCAGAAGAACCAAAGTACACTGCTGAGGGGAGTAGCGGGAGGGCGGCAGGAGAGGTCTGCGCGCCATGCGGGACCCTCCTCCTGTGGCCGGGGAGCAGCCGGGGATCAAATCGCACCAGAGAGACTGCGGGCAGCTTCGCAACCCAACGCTCAACCGCTGGGCCACCAGGGAGGCCCAGATTAACTTTTAATGACACCATATAGGGATTCTTCCGATTACCTTATTTTCTAACTTGGTTTTTCTATATTAAGCATTTATCACAAAACAAAAACTCTACTAAGTGTTCAACTTAGTTTTTATTATTAAATTATGAACACTTTCACATAGCAGCAAGAATCTCAACTTTGACAGCAAATTGATAGTAACTAGAATAATGCACAGTGAGGTTGATTAGTAGCAGCAATTGGACCTGGGAAAAAAACCTATGCCCATGTGCAAAACAAGACAAGTACAGGATGCCAACTTCAGTACTTTCAGTGAAAAAAAATAACCCAAATCCTAATCAAAAGGGACACAGTAACATGTCACTATATATAGCTGTTACTAATAAAATAAATAAATGATATATTAAAACATGAAATGTGTTAATGTTAAGTGAAGGAAGTTATGTAATAATGACAAATAAAGGTTTAAAACTACAAAATAGTATCACACACACACTTAAAATAAACTTGGAAGGATGTATCAGGTCCATGATGGTGGTTAGCCCTGGGAAGAGGGAGAAAGGAGATGAGGTGGTAACCAAAGGGTGCAAATATGACCACTAATGTTAACACTTAATAGAAGTTAACTCTACATATAAAAACAAGAATTTGTCTTTTTGTACTTTTCTATTATTTTTCCACTTCTTAAAAAAAAGAAACCTGTAACAACTTCAATGGCTGCATAATATTCAATTGCATGGATATGCCATAACATACTCAACCATCTCTAAATGTTTAGACACTAAGATACCTGCTGCTGCCATGAACAGTGCTACAAAGAACAACTTTGTAGTTGCTTTTACATATATTTTATTCCTTAATATAAACTCCTAGAAACAAAATTCTAGGTCAATCCTAGATCTTTGTTACACACTGCCTACTGCCTTCCAGAAAATAACTGTCACCAAACTATATTACCTGACTATTTTCTTGCATTTTTGCTAATCAGGATATGGCAACTCAAAAAAACTATCTCATCTGGGGCCTCCCTCGTGATGCAAGGGGTTAAGCACCGCACTATGAAGCAATCAGCAGCCTCTGCAGCACAAGTTCAATCCCCAGCTGGCCAGGGTGCAACCCACATGGCGCAGCAGACCTCGCCTGACTCGATCGCCCAATGCTCCCCTCAGGAGTGTACTTCGGTCAGTCTGCCTGTTCTGCTCCCCACTCTGTCTCTGGGGAATCGTCTCATCCCCCACCCCGCCTGTACCCCAGCTCTTGTATGCATAAATAAATAAATCTTAAAAAAAAAAAAAAACAAAACCAAAGAAGGAAAAACTATGCTAATCTAATTAGGTCTATGAGGCAGGAATCTAATTTCTTCCCACATGATTAGTCATATCATAGATCATACTGTAATCATGGAATGACTGACTACATTATCATTTTAAAGGGAATGAAAGTTAGGCTTTATTAGAAACCTGTACACAATATACCATAAGGTAGCAAAAAAAAAAAAAAATGCCATTTTTGTTTCTTTTGCCTATTCTTTTCAACTTTACAGAGAACATTACAGAAATGATATATTTTAGAAAGGAAGTCTAAGAACTACAGACTGATTTATTTTACTAAATAGCTTATACTTTAAAAGATTTTTTTCAAAAAGTAAGACAATTTAAAAAGATTTCCAATTTTGAATCCTGCAAAAGATTTTTAGGTTGTTGGTTTAATTACACTGGTCAACCTTAATTATCTTAAAATATCTACTAATAATGGAATCCAGCCAGTAACAAATGTCCCAAATATCCATAGACCTTTTTTATCTCTCACCCTAGATTAAATAACTTAGTTGAGAGTTACTAATAATTAGTATTTACACAGTACTCTATTCACTACATCACTGTAAATGGGCACAACAATGATCATTACCGTATCAAGGAAGAAAGCGACTGAACCAGTCAGGCTAGTTGTCTAAGGTCACAATAAAGCAGGAATTTGCCAGTATTAGACTCGAGTTCTTGTAGTTTAATTCCTATATGCTTCATCACTCAAGAGAACTACTTGTAATTATGACAACAACTCAGAAAGAAACTGAGATAGCACCAGAAGAGAATCACCTATCGAAATAACACTAAAGATAGTTTACTTCAACATCCTCACTTCACAGATGAGGAAACTGAGGTCCCCAGAGGTTATGTAACTTAATTATATGTAGTCCACTTCCAAGCACAGTAAAGTAACAATCAGAATTTAGCATGCCTTAATCCAAGTTCAACAATATTCAATTACTGGAGTGTAACAGCTATTCTTAACTACCATTTCAAATTTCTGAGTTTATAAAGAAGTCTCAGTGTTTTCACTGATAATTACTAACCCAATTAACAAATAATTATCCAATACCTACTATAATCCAGGTCCTACAGTTGGTGCTAAATTAGTAGTTTTTGTGTGCTAAGCGATGCATTAACCTGGCATTTTCATATTTAATCCTCACAACACTAAAGGTAAGCACAATTATAATCTCTATTTTAAAGATTAAAATTTGGATAGATGGGCCTCCCTGGTGGCACAAGGGGTTGAGCACCATACTGTGGCTGTAGTCTGCGGCCTCTGCAGCAGGAGTTTGATCCCTGGCCGGCCAGAGAGAAACCTACATGGCGAGGCGGACCTCTCCTGTCTCGCCCGCTGCTCCCCTCAGCAGTATATTTCAGTCGGCCTGCCTGTTCTGTTCCCCACTCTGTCTCTGGTGAATCCTCTCACCCCCCTGCATCTCCGGCCTCTACCCCAACTCTTGAATGCATAAATAAATAAATCCTCCCCCCCTTTTTTTTTAAAGATCCATCCATTTATGCATACGAGAACTGGGGCACAGGCCAGAGGTGCGGACGGTGAGAGAACTCACCAGAGACAGCGGGGAACAGAACAGGCAGATCGACTGAAATACAATGCTGAGGGGTGCAGTGAGCGAGTCAGGAGAGGTCTGCTGCGCCATGGGGGCTGCTCCCTGGCCTCTAGGGGATCCCCTCTAGGGGATCGAACTCGTGCTAGAGTGGCCACGGACCACCTCACAGGTTGTGTCTTAACCCCTTGCGCCACCAGGGAGGCCCCATAAATAAATAAATCTTAAAAAATTTTTTTAGAAAGATAAGGTATTTCCCTTGATCTTCAGTAAGGAAACACCTTTACACAAAGACAATGGTGCCATGGCATGTGCTACCACATGGCCAAGAGCCTCAACTAGGGGCCAAGTATGTGAGCAAGCTGAGGCGCAGCTGCAGCTGTGGGCACCCCAGCAAGCCCACCAAGTGTGTGTAGGACAAGATCCCAGAGGCTGTGGCTTAGCACCTTATGAAAAGCAAGCCGAGAGCAGCTGAGCAAAGGTCTGGCTTCCCCAAGGAGAGAGGGAGAGAGGAAGATGATGTTAAGAACTAAGCCCCCCTCTACAATCTGTGCATAGTAAGAACTTGACGGAAAAAAGTAAATGGTACATTCCCACTTATAAATTTATCTGAATAAAATAATCATTTAAAATAGTTTAACGCCATGCATGATTTCATTTGAAAAAGAGATCTTTTGTGAAACAAAATTTGGAAAATCCTAGATCCCTACATAGCCTCTAACATCTCCCATGTAGTAAGTGCAGATTTTGGTATTAGAGGTTGGGGATCCCTCTGGAAGAGCTTTAAATATCCTTTTTTTCTTACATTTTCTAAGACCCCAGAATAGATAGCATTTGAAGTAATTTAATTGAAGGTCAATAGTTAGGAAAGTAATTATGAAAATAAATCCAGGGGATGAGCCTCTAGTACTACCTAGTAATGAATTTTAGCCTGAAGAATACTGAGCGGTCCGAAGTAGAAGGCATGAATTCTCCAAAGTATTACTCACAAAATTGTACTACAGTATAGGTTACCTGCTTTCAGAGCACAAAATCTCTGTGGGATAAGATCATTTAATTAAAAGTTTCATTTACTGTCTGTTCCAGCAGGAATTCCTTTATCCTTGATTGCTAAATAGATTTTTATAAGGCCCATATCCAAAAATCCAAGGACTAAGCAGTGTTTGTTTTATAGAGATTTAAAAATAAGCTTTGTAAATGAAAGCCTGATGATGTTCTTAAAAGCAGCAATCAATCTAGGAGAACCTTGAAATATAATGGGAGCATAAACATTTTCTGGGGAGAATATTGATTTTAACCAAAGGTCTAGTGTTTTGGAAATACTGCTATAAGAAAACCAACTAAGCAACCATTTAAAAAAACCTACCTTTCCCCATTATACAGTGTTTTTTATTCCAGTTATAATTTTATTGCTATAAATCAGTGACTAAGAAAAATAAAACTCAGATATATAATCAATCACAGCAGAATTAACCACATGCAGTACTTCTAATGTAAATGGTTACCTGAGAAGTCTGTCAGAAGTCTTGCAAGGACATGCTTGTTTACCAGTTCACTCCTGCTAAGGCTGGAAAAAGAATCTACCTTAGAAGGTTCTTTTACAATAGTGGGCTTTTTGGAAATCCCAACATCAGATCCAGTCTTTACATCCGTGTGTTCTAGGACATCATTCAATCTCTGTGGCCAAGAGGATTCTGGAGCAAAGGTGAAAGTTGACTTGAGTATATCTTCAGAAGGAGATTCTACATCCTGTGCAGAAGTTGACTTCTCAACCTGCCTTTCACTGAGTTCTTTAAGGGCTTTGATTGTGAGCTGTTCTTGCTCTAAGTCAAGAGATGCCACTGGAGAACCCTGAGTAGGAAAAATATCCAGAAGCTCCTTTCCACTTCTTTCTTTGCTGTGTTCAGTGTATTTGCTTTTTATGTTTTTCATTTCAGAACCACCTTGCTCACTTTCACATAAGACTTTTACAGGAAGAATGGTCTTAAAGTTCACAGTCTTGTCTGATGTTGCTTCAAAGGCATTTTCTTCACCTTTATCTTTTGTCACTTTATTTCTGGTTTCTGTAAAGGCTGCTATCAGGTCCTCTGGGGAAGAATCATCTATATCTTTAACACTTTTTTCATGTAATGACTTTAAATAGGCAGAGGTTGTCACATTTAGGGAGAATTTTGTCTCATTAAAATCATTTGGAGATGCTGCTGAACAAAGTTTTGGGTCATCAGTTGCGACAGGATTTGCAGGAGCAGCTCCACTCACACTACCCGGCTGTTTCACAGCTCCTGACATGGCATTCATATCAGGTACCTGGGAAGGTGCTACCTCACCAACAGGACTTCTTCCAAGAATATCAGACTGAATTTGTCGTAGTTCAGAGTTACTGACTGACCCTTCAAAGTTTTCTAATGTTTTGTTTTCCTTATTACAACTGAGAATTTCTTTGATTTCCCTTTCATCTGTTTTTACAACAGCATTTGGAACAGCAACAGGTTTTTCAGTCTGAATTTTGTGACCTTCAAATGATGTGTCTGCTACGATGTCTTCTATTACCGTGTCATCAGATTCGCCAGAGCTATCCACCTCTGTCACATCTCCCAACATGGAGCTCTGCCAGTGCAATTCACCTTTCAGGTGGTCATCAGGTAAAACCACCTTGACCGCAGCCACTCCAGTACCCAACGACACACATTTCTCAAGTGGAGACCCAGGTAACTCTGAAAGTGGGTCATCTTGTTTCTGAGCCCTGTCTTGCATGCCTTTGGTAATGACTTCCTTTGTGCAATTTGGATAGTCTGCGATAGATTTTTTAATGGCATTTTCTTGTGTGAGAGAAGTATCTGTCCAATCACCTGTTGACTTAGTGATGGGAGTGCTTCCATTAACAGAACATACAGGAATTGTCTGATGAGTCTTAAGATTTACCACCGGAATTTCTGAATCATAGCTACTCATGTCAAGTCCTGTAGTTTTTGTGACGTAGTCAGATTTATCACTCTGCTGTTTAACTTGGGGAACCAAATCCCAAGTCATTATTTCATTAGTAAAGTTATGCATATCATTCACACACCTAGACACCTCTTCCAATGCTGCAGTTGTGTGTGAAAACTGTCTACTGAGCAATGCAGAGGTTGGATAACGCCCTGCCTCTTTACTTCTCAATGGAAATACTTTGTCACTAGACTCCAAAATGTCTGCAGATGATTCTCTATCAGTGTGCATTGCCCAGCTACCGAAATCATTTGTGCTCTCCTTATAGGCGTCTTTAAATTCTTTGTCAAATGCTGCTTTGTCAATAATTACTTCAAATGGTGATTCAGGGGAATCCTTTTCAGTAATACTGCCTCCTGAAACTTCAGACGGGGACAAGGAATATGAATAAATGCCTTCTGCCTTAGATAGTTCAGTCGGTGGTTTCCGGGCTGTTGGCAAAGTGAACTTGTTATCAGCATCCAAGGTAGTTTTATCCTCCCTACTTGGTATTTCTTTTGGGTTCCTGGATTCTTGATCTTTATTTATTTGCTGTTCCATCTGACCAACTTCCTTTGAGAGAAAAGTAGTATGATCTGGGAAACTGGCTGGAATGGAAGGAAGTTTACAGTGAACTCCTGCAGCAATAAACTGGGGAGTCGGCTATGCTTTTACTGCTCTCCTGAAGCTTTTCCATCTTTTTCACATCTAGCAGAGCCAGGCAGTCTTTTTTCCCTTTGGTACGGTGGGCTGACTGCCTAACACTTTGCTTTTTTTCTCCATGCAGTATTCTAAGGTTAGTGTTATGTATTTCAGAGGATGAAAAAGAGAGGAAATCATAATTTCTGAAGGTGGTTCATCAGAGCAAAAAGAGCTCAATCGCCTCTATCGTTCAAATTTGAAAGAAAAAATTTGTTTACCAGTACAATTACACATTAGCTAATCAGGCCAAGCAGCATGCTTTTTATTTTTCAAATTACACATATACATACACACATACACATAGGATGTGTACACACACACACAAATGTAATACTATGATCAACAGTTATCCTTCAAGACATGCATAAAATTGCCAACAGTGAAACAGAAAAGCCTTATCATGCTACAAATTGCAAGTGAAAAAAATTTTTCATGACAAGTGCTTTTCAGCCTACTTTTTCCATTGTAAAGGTAAAACATAAAAAAGAGTAATGCTATTGAGAAATCTGGGGAACCTCCCCACCCCCCGCCCAGAGCTATTCAATAGAAACACTAACCCATCTAAAACAAACAACTTGATATTATGAAGCACTGATATACTTTTATCTGTAAGATGAACAATTTAGAACACACTGCTTCTATAAATCCACTTTTATAGTCTGACAATCTGAGAGGGAAAAATGTGACCTGATTTTCAGGTGACACAGTGGACCCCTCCTACTCCTGAAAGTAAGGTTAGAATTATTCTACCCACAGGGAGGATCTGTCCCAGGTACAGATGGCCTCAATGTTCTAAACTAAAGGACACTTGAAAAGGCTGCCCTACTCAACATCTGTACCAATTTGCCAAATTAACTAAAACTGACCCATGCAAATACAGTGCTTTGGTTAAGACACAGTTAACTTCAAAAATTGTTTTTAAGGGACCCCCGGTGGCAGGGAGAAACCCACATGGTGCAGCAGACCTCTCCTGTCTCACCTGCTGCTCCCCTCAGCAGTGTATTCCAGTCAATCTGCCTGTTCTGTCCCCAAACTGTCTCTGGTGAATCCTCTCACCCGACACATCTCTGGCCTGTATCCCAGTTCTTGTATGCATAAATAAATCTTCAAAAAAAAATCGTTTTTAAAATAGAAAGCATCCTTCTAGAAGTAACATATTAAGTAATTTAAAGAGCTTTACTCTATTTCAAGACTTTGGGTGATGTAACTTCTGAATCATTTATTATAAATCAAATGACTATGACATTCCAAGAACTATGCTAGGTTCTATGTGAGTCAACATTTAAGAGAGCCCAAGAAATAAAAACATTGAGCCAAGACTGAAAGATGAAAGAATTTTTCCTGCACAAAATGTTTCAGTAAATGATCTTTATCATCATCAAGGTCAAATGTATATTTTAGTTCAACATACAACTAGCTGAACATTCTAGCACAAAAAAATAGCTTTGATGCAACCTTTTACAGTCACTTTCAAACTTCAGCGCAATGACCAGAATTTCATGGGCGTTATCGCTGACTGACTGACTCAGACCTTCCTAAGGAGGATGGAGCTCAGCTATTTGCATTACAAGTTTCCCAGGTAATGAATCTGGTTTGAGACCTCAGCTTTACTGCATGCTATGTTTTAGCTGCACTTTAAAACTCTAGTCCTGTAAAAATCCTACAGAACAGGCTCCTCACCATAGATCATCTTTGCCCAGGAGCACAACTTATAGGGCAAGGGCGGTCCCTTCTGCCTACTGAATAGTAATTTGAAAATATAGTAACAAAATTTATTGGGACAAGGAAAAAGTTCTACTTGACTAAAGACTGTTGTGGAAACTGAAGAATCTTCCCTCTTCGATGCCCAGAGTATTTCATCTCAAAGAACAAGGTAGGAAGTTAAAAAATGATGTGACAAACACCACCACCACCACCTTTCAAGTGAATTCTGTGTATGTATCAAGTAAATACATATGAATTGGAAAAAAAAAACTATGTTGTTTTTCCTACAAATTAACTTTTCTATTTTGTTTTGCATTCTTTTAGAAAAAGATTTAGTATTTTTTTACTCTAGTGTTTAATTACTGGAAACACAATGTGACCTAGAAAAAAATCAGTAATGAATGCTTTATTCGATATCAGAGGTCTTTCTAAAAAGAGTGAAAAGCTTGAAATGTGAGTTACCATTTGGTTACCCTCCCCCCTGGACATTAATTACTTTTAATTGAAAGGATACCTGTAACATGGAAAAACCACACACAGCAGCAAAGAAAGAGTGCCAGCCTGCAGTAGCCACTAGGTTACTTTTTCCAGAGACATACTGTGCATATTCATACAAGAAGGCTTGAAATATTCAGGTATAGGTTTTCCTACACTTGAATTTTCTCATGTTCACAAAACAAGAAGGAAAGACAAATTATCGTGCAAAACAGTATCAGCAACTTTCAGCCACAGCATCAAAATAGGAAGTTAGCCAGCAGACACTTTGCAGCCAAGCTAATCCTAAACAGAAAGTCTCTTTTGTACAAAGAAAAATGTTTTGCTTTTGTTAAAAAAAAGGCTGTAACTGGCAAATTACTTCTCAATGCGTGCCCCAAAGTTCAGTGTTTAACTTCCTATTCCAGATGCCTACTGCATTACTCAAATTGAACGCAACTGTTCACTACAGCTAATGTGTTTCCAACTCTGCACGGTGGATGGAGTCTCTCTTCCCAGTATTATTTTTACCTACTTTTCTTCCAATGTTTTCTAAAGAAAATAAAATTTTTCAGCGTCCATTCTTATCAACAATTTCAAAAGTAGAAATCATATTTCAGTTTGATTTTGTGTCTGATGGAGCAAGCACATCCCTCAGGTGATACTCAATTACGTCACCAATAGTGAGAAAATGGTTAAAATTATAATTTGTTCTTTTGCTCTCATGTTTTTAACATTAAATCCTCTAAATGACATCTCTAAAACACTCTAAACACTAAAAGCAACTAATACACAGCATCATCTTTATTGTAGGTAATGGTTGTGAGAGCACAGACTTAGGAGTCATAGGTCTGTCACTTGGTATATGACTTTGAGTAAATTATCTCACTACTTAAACCCCAGTCGCCTCAAATAGTAAAAGAGTTAGTGTTTTTACTGCATAAATTGGTAGGGATTAAATGAGGTGATTCACATCAGGCATTGAGCACAGAAAAAGCTCAGTAAAAATTAGTCACATACTACATCCTTATCTCTGTTTCTATCTTTATTTCACAGTATAGGAAAACATTAAAATTTTTTCTTTTTTGAAATGCTTAGGGATTAGGCTGAAATTTAATTCTGCTTTATGAGAAAAAAGGGACGTAATAAGTAAAAGACTGTAAGGACCTACTGAGGAATACAAATTTATGAAGGAACTGATATCCCATTAATATTCTCATCATAAATCTATCCACTAGTTTTCAAAAAGCTCAACTTTTTAGTTTAAGTAGCTGTATATTTCAAAGTAGTAAAATTCAATAAAAAGTACAAAATTTACATGTGAAAAAGTTAACTGCCCTTTCTTTACTCAGGCCAAATAAATGACAGTTTTTGTCATATACATCTTGAAACCCAGTAATGATATATACTTCAGGGCTAAAATGTATCATTCTCAAATATGAAAACGTCCTATTGTTGCTATATATTGCTTAATGGGGTTTAAGTATATAAAAATAAGGCACAATTCTCCAAGGCTAAATGGTTAATGGACACACGCCAGAGACAGATCCCTTAGTTGGGTTAGTGCCAGTTATGAACTCAAGGCAGCAGTCACTCTGAAAGGCCTGTTTCGGATGGACTAGTCCCAGCCATTCCAGAGATTTAGAGCCAGTTACCCAAATACATCAACATTTTCCTCCTCCCTTATTTTTATTAAGGTAGATTAGAAGCTACCAGTCTTAGCTAGCCTAGAACACATCTAATCATCTGCCAAGGTGTTCTGTCAAACCACCCCGCAAGCTGACATTTAGACCTGCCAATGAAGCAGGGTTACTTTTCCATTATTTTTTTTTTTAAAGATTTATTTTATTTATTTAAGCATACAAGAATTGGGGTGCAGGCTGGTGCGGGGTAAGAGGATTCACCAGAGACAGAGTGGGGAGCAAAAGAGGCAGATTCACTGAAATAAACTGCTGAGGGGAGCAGTGGGCGAGCCAGGAGAGGTCTGCTGCGCCATGTGGGTCAGCTCCCTGGCAGGGGATGGAACTTGTACCACAGAGGCTGCAGATAGTTTCATAATGCTGTGTTTAACCCCTTGTGCCACCAGGGAGGCCCCCTACTTAATTTTTAATTACAAAAATTCTTTTTATTTACCTCCATTCTATTAAGTATATATGTAATTTTACTAATGGGGGTAAAATAATTTTTAAAAGTATGACAATTATCTTCTCAACATTTTATACATCTCCATTCTATTAAGTATATATGTAATTTTACTAATGGGGGTAAAATAATTTTTAAAAGTATGACAATTATCTTCTCAACATTTTATACATCAGGCATATTGTGCCTGGGTCACACTCTTAACACTATTTAGCACATCAATATCTTCTCTCTCTATGAAAAAGTGACTTGAAATTATAACTATGAAGAGTGTATTTTAAAAGATCTGAAATAGTTACAATTAAGAAAATAAAATTATTTGTTCTACCTACATTTTTACCAGTTTATCTTCCAGTGTAGAATAAATTTACCTAATTTATTAAATTTCTCATGCAGAAAAATAAAATTCGTAACAGTATAACTCTAGTTGATTTCTAGATATCAAGAATCACTTCCTGTGTTCGAGTTACTTTTTAACTTCACAAAATATCTATCTTTTAATGTAAACAAGTCAATTTCAAAGGCTCTAAGCTTACCAAGACCCCAGAGTCACACCATGAGGCATATCTTAAAGGGACTGAGGTGCTGATGTTATCTGACTGCATTAAAAGCAACAAATTATATATCATATTTCTCATAAA